TGTGTGTCTGTGTATATGTGTCTGTGTGTGTGTGTGTCTGTGTGTGTGTTCCTGTACCCTCTGCTGCTCCCCGTGTGGGGAAGCCATCTTCCTGGAAGTCCCTCTCTGGGTTGGCTGGAAAGCTCCTACCTCCCTGCCGAGCTGCTTGCTGTGGGGGACTGAGCCCCGGGCCAGCAGGCAGGTGCTCCAGTTCCAGGTTAGAGTTCCTTTAGAGACAGCCTGCTTTGTCATGCCATCTGCAAGCCATTCCTGTCCCTGAAACAAGCGCCCCCCTGCTTGGACTTCTGTCCCCCGTGGAGACCAGGAGGGAGGCCCCTGGCGCTCCGCCCTGCTGGCTGCTGGGGCCGTGCTGACTCCCAACACACTCACCTGGTGCTTCCATCATCGTGGGTCACCATGAACAGCAGGGATCTCGAAGGAGCGCTCTGAATGAACTTCATCATTGGTCCAGAGTTATCTGTGGGGTCAGTGCAGGGGAGTTTGAGAGTCTTCTCTGCCAATGGAGGCTCCTGCCCTGGCCAGGGCCTCCCTCTGCCCGCGGCCTCTATGTCCACTCTGATCCCTGCTTCCTAGTGCTGGCCTCAACATGGGATCAGTGCCATCTGGGGCTCACTGGGGGACCATCTGAGGTGAGTGACAGGACAGACCACAGATGTTCTGGGTACAGAGTGGGAACGGAGCTCTCCCAGACCAAGAGCCGAGGCGGGCAGCCCCGAGAGGTCTGGCAGCCAACCGCCAACCAGCACAGCTCCTGCAGCACCGGCCAGGGGCCTCTGCAGTCGCTAGCCTGGAGCTGGACTCAGGTGCCATCCCAGAGAGGGCAGCCACGCCTGCCCGAGGGGCCCGCAGAGAGAGATGCAGACCAGAGCGGCCCTCCTCCTTTCTGAATAAATGCCCAGTCTCTTTAGGGTCTAGTCCATGTTTAAACTTCGTCTTAACAGGAAATGTTTTCTTACCACCTCCATACATATCAAAATACTGTGTGGCTATCGGCTTCCCAGTTACATCTGCAAATAAAAGAAATTGTGCTTAAAAAATAAATAATAACGGTGTGTTGGTGGCCCTGGTCCCTCCTAACAGGCCGTTTCTTGTCTGTGTGTCTGCAGGAAACAGTTGATGGGATGGCCTAAAGAATGTCACCAAGCACAGGGACAGCAGGACAGAGCCTGGCCACTGCTCTAGAGCCGCTTGCAGCCTGCACCCATTAGAGCTGACCTTACCGTTCTGCTCCCCACTGCATCTCCTCCAGGGACAACAGAAACCCCTCAGCTCCTCCCGCCACCGGCGTCAGCCTTCCCTGGGGTCATTCAACAGGGAGAACTGTCTCTCCCCGAAGCTCTCCTGTCCCCGGCCCATGCTGTCTGCTGCCCCGGGGATTCTGCAGGGAACTCCTTCTGACCCTGCTGCAGTTCTCAGTGCTAGGGTTCCCAGTGGCAGCAGGACCTCCGAGCAGGGCCCGGATCTGCCTTCCATGGACTTCCTGTGGCCGTTTATCATAAGGCAGTGGGAGCTGGCCAGCAGTGGGACTGAGATGCGACCCGGGGCCCCAGCGGGTGCTCTTCTGGGTTCCCACCAGGCCTTCTGCCTGTCCCCTTTGTGCTTTGTAAACTCCTTTTGTGTTTGGTCTTCAGTGACTTTTGTTGTTATTGAAACACAATCTGAAATGTGGGGCTCGTAAGAATAACTAAGTACATCATTTTAAAATGCATTAAGACAGACCTAAACTAGATCATGTGCAAAGCTCTCCAGAGCTCGAGGTCTGGGTGAAAAACCCAACCTCAGAGTTCTTAGAGACATTTTAAGGGAATCATTTAGAACTTACAGTCCACGATGGCAATGTTGATCCCTCTGGCCACATTCCCCGTCTTTTCTCCTATGAGCCTGAAACGTAACTGAGCGTCAGTCGAGATTCCTTTCCTGCCCAGAAAGGAGCACCCTGGCCCTGCTCACAAGACCCTCTCTGGGCAGCACGGCCCACCCACCATGGCTTCCCACGGTTTCCTTGAAGAGATCACCACCCTGGAGAGCCGCTGGGGTGCAGCTCCCTGGAGAGTCACCCCACACTCGCTGCTCCACCCACGTCTGCCCGAGTTCTGCAGACTCAGCACCCCCCCCCCAGCACCTGGAAGCTGCATTCAGTCTTATAATTTAGGCAAAGGATAGGGAAGAAAAACCCATATTTGTTTAGTTCAGGCTCTTCAAAAATGCTTTTTTACCAAATCTTCAACCAGCTCAGGAACATCTATTTTTGCATTTTATAGATGTGAGGTAGTTAGAGCTCAGTCAATGGGAGATGGGCCCAAACCTGGTTTTCCCGACTCTTCCCCATCTCTACCCCGGAAAGCACTGACGGAGGCGTGGCTTGCCTCCAGGCGACTGTTTCACCCAACCACAAGGCTTAGCTAGTTCCTTGAATAAACCCTTTGTCGTACCACTTAGAGTTTACTTCTAAACTGCAGAAGATGAGGCGTCAGTTTCATGGTGACCGGATCCTGACGTCAGGAAGACCGGGTGACATTCTGGAGATGGTGATCTTTTCTGAGATCACAGGAATTTTTTTTTCTGTGTGTGTGTGTGTGTGTGTGTGTGTGTGTGTGTGTGTGCCCTCTGCCAAGTTTTAGAATCGATGATAGGGCAATATCACAAAGAGAACTTGGAGTTCTCCTTTTTTCCCAGGTGAACACACACTTCATCACTCTGCAGCGTTGACCTGCGCTTCTTCCCGAGTCTCCTGGTCTTAGAGCTTTTGGACAGTTTTAGGGAATGTTCGGTAAGAACCTGAATTTTCCAACAGTGGACGCTTGGGTGAGCTGCACCTACCATCCCTGGAGGAAAGCAGGGAAGAAGGACAGGTTTTAAAGGAGTCAACAGAGCCTTAATAAGGGAGCAAATGACTTCCTAGGCAAGACCTCAGAGGAGACTGGGTTTGTGGTGCTGAGCCCAGCACTTGAGGGCTCTTTTACCCCAGGGGCAGTTTCCAATTCCAGAAAAGGTGCCAAAGGGGGTGAACCGCGCTCTGACAACCACAGGAGGCAGAAGAGAGGGCCAGGTCAGAGCCCCCACATCTTACATCAGTTTGCTCTTACAAAGGGCGGAGTCTCGAGCCACAGGAGAGCCCGGTGTGAAGTCAGCATTTGCATGGCCCTTAGCACAGTAGCCCAGAAAGCCTCCGTTGTTGGAATTTATTCAGGCTGTCTCTTGCTCTGCTGTTGGCTCCAGGTCCCTCAGAGCAGCACAGAAAAACCCTCAGAAGCCACAGAAATTCTTTTCCTGCTTTAGTTTGGATGTAGTTTGAGTGTAGTCCCCCAAGAATTCACGCGTGGTCTCAGTGAGGTGATGTTGGGAGCTGGGACCTTTAAGTAGTGGGGCTCATGCAAGGTAACTGGTCCCTGGGGACATGCCCTCAGAAGAAGAGGTCAGTGCTATTCTCACAGAGTGAATTAGATCTCCAGAGAGCAGGTGGTTATGAAAGAGCGGGTCTACCCCCTGAATCTCCCTGGCTTCCTGTCTCTTCATGAAATCTTTTCTGCATGAATTCCCACCATTGTGAAGCCACCTACATGAGGCTCACCACCACAGCTAAGCAGAAGAACCTGGTGCCATGCCCTTGAACCTAAGAACTGTGAGCCAAATAAGCTTCTTTTCTTTTTAAATGATCAAGCCTCAGATATTTTATTACAGGAATGGAAAACTGACTAAAACATATCTCTTGCCTCTATTTAAAAAATAATCTCCAATGTACTGTCTGGCTCACACTGTCAAACATAATCCGGCCCATGAGCAAAAAAAATCCAATATAACAAGTACCAATGGAACATAATAGGGACAGACTCACAAGGGGTTAAAATAGTAGAGTTATCCAACATAGACTTCAAAATAACTAGACTTAGTATATTCAAGAAAATGATCAACAAAACTGAAAAGTTCAGAACTGGAAATTTTAAAAATTGACATGCTGATTTGAAAAAAAATGAAGTTCTAAAACTAAATATAATAAGCTAATATCAATGGTCAATGAATGGGTTTAACAGCAGATTAGACACAGTAGAAGAGAATACCACTGAAATGGAGAACAGTTCTGTCCACAATGGAAGGCAGAGATAAAAAACAGAATAAAAACCAGTGTGGTTTAGAGAATACAGTATTAAGGTCTAAAATGTGCTTCGTTAAGAATATCAAAAGAAAAAGAGAAGGTGAAGGGGAAAGAAAATGTACCAGCAGAAAAGTTGTCAGATACAATGAAGAACTTCGATACATACATGTTTAAGGAGCTCAGGAAAGTACAAATAAGATACACTACAGCACACACATCAGGGTACAAATGCTGAAAACCAAAAACAAGTAAAAAAATCCTAAAGACAATCAGAATCAGAAAGGGGAAAGGAAATTACTTTCACATTTGCAGCAATTAGATTGTTGGGTGATTTCTCCAAAGAAATAATGAAGCTGGAAGAAAATGGAATAACACCTCAAACGTTTCGAAAGAAAACAATGACCAACACATCCGGCCAAGATGTCTTTCAGGAATAAAGAGGAAAGACGGATATTTCAAAGAAAAATGAAATGCAAGAATTCACCATTAGCAACCCACAAGCAGAATTGGCTCTGTGTCTTTTGCTGTGACAAACCTTACCCATAAGTATGACCTTGTTTGTTTCCTAAGAGTCCTTCCGGAGAATAAGTGGTTGTGAGACCCTCCTTCACCCTGAACCCCAAAGTCAACAGAAATGTATACACATGGGCACCAAGAGACATAGACAGCACTAGGCAAAAATAATTGGGAATGACCCAAATGCCATTCAACCGTAGAATGGAAAATAACAAGGCAATATTACACAGCAATTCAGATCCACAAAAATAGCTATGCCCAACACCAAGGACAAATCTCACAAATGTCATTTTGAGCTAAAAAGACCCGACACAAAAGAGCATATAAGTTATGATTCCATTCATATAAAATTCAAATACACAAGATTACACAACAGTGTTTTGCAATGAATGTTTAGGCAGTGGAACCATCAAGAAAGGCAAGGACGTGATCACCACAGAAGGGAACAGAGTGCCTTAACACAGGGGCTGCACTTGGGAAGGGTACACAGAGGGCCTGCGGAGTGCTAGTGATAGTCTACGGCTTAACCTGGATGGCAGTGACACAAGTGGCCACTTTATAAGGATCAATTACAAAACCACATACCACAGGTTATTCATGGTAGCACTACTAGTAATACCCAAAGATCTGACACATTAGAACTGCCTGTCAGTGCAAAACTAGTTGAATAAACTATGAAACATCCCTGTGGAATACTATGCACCAATAAAATAAATTAGGGAAATCGCATTGTACTGACAGGGAGCAATCTCTATTATACTGTGAAGTAAGGAAAGCAAAGTGCAAAACTGTGCGTGGAGTTTACCACTTTTATGTAAGAAAGGACACGTCTCTGTGTATATGTGTATATATATATGCACACATATATATCTGTATATATACACACATATATGAATGTGTAGCAAAAGAAAAAGATAAAGTGAAGGGGACAGAAGATATACTATATATGCACATATACACACCTATTCATGCATGCATATACATGAACTCACATAGGCGTGCTTATAAAACTCATATATTGGTAGATCTACATATAGAGAGAGAAAGCTTATTTTGCCAAAAAAGCAAACATTAGAGGGATAGATCAGAAACTAATAAAAAAAACTGAGATGAGAACAGGAGAAAAATTGGAAGGTATAGGGAAGATTTTTCTGAATGTATGTTTTTGGATACATAATGTTAATTTCTGAACCATGTAAATATATTACACATTCAAAAATTAAATCCAAAGAAAAAATAGAAAAAAAAATCTTAGAACTAAAAATGAATGGAAATGAACCTAATCATATCAAGTATATAACACAACTGTGGGAAAAACAACTCTTTCACCTGACTTCAATCATAATACTGCACACTGCAGTGTAATATTTTTAAAGAAAAAAAGAACTGACAAAAAAGTCACCTTCACTCAATGGCTGCATTGAGTTCTCCGGATGCACATTTTGAAAGCAGGTGTTAAACCGCTCTAGGAATGAGGTTCTCAGTGAAAGGAAAGAGTGAAAACGTGAACACCGCTACTTACAGCTCATCCTCAAAGCAGATCTTGGCGTACTTGTCACGACCCCCGCCGCTGAGCAACCGGTAGGCATAGCTGTTGGCGGGGCACGCGGTCCAGTGGTCACATTTCTGCCTTCTGGGGGCAGGGGCTGTAAGACAAAGACCATCACTGTTAGTTAACGGATGCACCTGCTACCTGTCCAAAGGGCCAGCAGCTCCGCTCCAGCACTCCACCGCAGTCCCAGGGAGGGGAGGACCCGAGGGGGGCTTCCCGCCTCACTGGGATCACTGCAGTCCCCCTGAAGGTGCACATGAAGGTGCACGGCTGACACGACCTGCTTTTTGTCTTGAGCGACACTTCACATGGAGAGGTTTTGAGCAGGTGCAATTTCAGACATGTCAGAACCACTGTCCACGGCTGCTCACCACAGCTGGCCTGCTGTGCCCTGCACCCTGGCCTCACAGTAAGAAAAAGACCTCAGATGCCGTGGCTTGGAGGTGAGGGGCCCCTAGAAGCTCCTGTTAGTGCAGGGACGTTCAGAGGTGGAATAACCGGCCTGTGACCTAGGTGACCAGGCAGTGCAGCGTGGTTGGAGTGGCCCCTGGGGCTGCCCCGAAGGGTCGCTCTTTCTGAATCCCCTGCTCTCTCTCTGTGTCCCGGCTGCCGGGAAGGGCAGCTCTCCTCCACTGGGCTCTTCCCCCAGGACCTACTGCTTTACCTTTGGCCCAGAGCAATGAATTCAGCCATTTATGGACTGAAACCTCTGAAGCTGGGAGCCTCTAAGTGGTTCTTGACAGGCATTTTGGTTGCAAAGCTAATACACAGGAGTCTAAGAGTGCTGGTGAACACAGACAGACACGCACGGGATCCGGACGCGCCCATCCCACAAACGCCACACAGCAAGCCACATCCAACACTGTGCACACCACATCCAGCACACTCTGTGCACACACACACCACGTGCCACCAAACGTCATACAACATACCACACAACCACACAACCACACAACATGTCAAGCAGAAGCAGCACACACACACATGCAACGCACACATGCACTGTACACACAGAATGACCGAATGTGTCTTTTAAGAAGACCCAGCTGCTGAGAGACCGCTTCCCCCGGGCACACCCTGACGGGAAGTGAGCAGGTGGAGAAAGGGCTCCATGCCATGAAGCCAGGAGGGCGGGTGGCCGCCTGGGTGACGTGGGTGAGTCCAGGGCAAAAGGGGTGGGCTCAGGGCTGGGGCTCAGGGCCGGGGCACTTGACCACTGTGGCCAGGGCCCCGGGTCCTATTCGAGCACTACAAAAGGGCAGAGAGGTCACCAGACGATGATAAAAAGCCAATTCACTGAGAAGCTGCCATGACTGTAAGTACATCCTCCTCCCACCCTGGACTCCTAACGAGGAAGCCAGGACCCGAGGGAGAGAAGACTGAGAATAATCAGTCACAGGGACTTCCAGAAGCCACTTTAACAGTGGACAGGTCATCCACACAGGAAGTTAACAAGGAAACACTGGACATTATCCTAGTCCTTAAGGCTGCCATGAAAACCGCTTTAAACTGGACATTGATGCACCACACACGTTCACTTCTCAGCTCTGAACTCTGGGCAGCCTGAGGCCAAGGCACCTGCACATGAGGGTCTGGTGGGCTCAGCTGGTGAAGAGGGCCGACACCCTCCCCTTCCCCTCAGGTTCCAATTACGAGCAGCGGCTCCCCGGCGGGTCACCTCTTAATACACCACACCCGCGACGCAGCTTCAGCACACGGATCCTGCAGACACAAACCCACAGACCATCGCAGACTCGAGCTACACCGTAGGCCAAGTGGACCTGAGAGACAGACGGAGCACCCCCCAACACCAGCAGAGCATTGTCCATCCAGAACATAGCGAAGCAGAGACAAGACTGAGCAAGTCCAAGGAGACCAAATCCACATGGAGCGTGCTTCCTGACCGCAGTGGTAAGAAATGAGAAATGACCACAGTGCAGTGCAGAGACTCCACAGGCACATCCAACATGCTCCTGAACAACCACGGGTCAAAGGGAAACTCACACACATCTGTGACCACAGGAAGGGGAAGACGACATGCACGTAGCAAAAGTCGGTCCAAGAGAGAACTTTCTAGAAATAGATGCCTACACCAAAAAAAGCAGGAAGACCTCAAGTACACAAGCTAATCTTGTGCCATCAGGAACAAGAAGAGCAAACTAACCCCGGAGTTCAGGGCAGGAAGGAAATGACAAGAGGAGAGGAGAAATAATGAAATAGAGACTAAAACTATAGAAAGGCCAATGAAACAAAGGGCTGTCTGTTGGTTTTTTAAAGGAAGACCAACTTGACAAACCCTCTGATTAAGAACAGAAGAGAGAAGACCAACTAACACTGGAAATGGAAGAGGAGACGTTCCAACGGACACGAGGTCACATGGGGGTCTTAGGAGCAGTTCCACCTACAGACTGCAACCCAGAACCTGGTGAATTCCTACCTACAACCCGCCAAGCCGGAACCGCCAGACACAGGCCATCCAAACAGGCCAAGGACAACGAGAACGCCCATCAAAGTCAGACCCGTCCAACAGAAGCCCAGTGAGACGGCTTTGCTGCCGAATCCTACCAAACCGCTGGGGAAGAACACACACCAATCCTCTGAGCTCACAGACACTGCAAAGGAAGAGACTTCTGAACTCACTGAACAGAGCCAGAGTCCCCTGATACCCAGCCAGCAAGGGACCAGGAGGAGGCAGACCGACAGACCAACACCTCCGACGGGCATAGGGGCCAAGTCCTTAAGGAAACAGGTTGGATATGACCAAACCACAGACAGACAAACGGGAGTGAACCAAACTAAAAAGCTTCTGCACAGTCACAGTATCATCAACAGAGGAAGGGGCGAGCTACAGAATGGAAGAGAGGATTCCAAACCCTGCATGTGATAAGGGCTAACGTCCAAACATATAAGGAACTCAAGCAATTCAATAGAAAGTACGGTTTCCAGCCTGACTTCAACTGGGCAATCGATCGAAGGGACATTAGTCCAAAGAAGATATACAAATGGCCCAGAGGCCTATGTAAAAGATGCTTGCTACCACGAATAATCAGGGAAATGCCATCTAAAACCACTATTCCATGAGCTGTTACAAAAGAGCCTCATGATGACATGCGGTGGCAGGGTGTGGAGACCAGGGAGCCCAGCACACTGTTGGTGGAGATATAAAGTAGAACAGCCATTATGGAAAACAATATGGAAGACCCTCAAAAAATTAAAATAACTTCCATATGATCCAAAATCCCGCCTCTGGGTGTTTCCAAAGGAAATAAAATCACTATGTGGGAGAGCCATCTGCACTCCTGTGTTCATTTCAGCATTATTCAAGATGCAAAATCAACCTACATGCCCAGCAGTGGATGAATGGATGAGGTATTTGGGCACAGTGGAATACTATTCAGCCTTCAAAAAGAAGAGGATTCTGTAATTTCTGGTGACATGGATGAACATGGGGACATGATGCTAAGTGAAACAAGCCAGGCACAGAAAGGCAAATACCACACAATGTCACTCATGTGTTGTTATGGTTTGGATGTCGAAGGTCCCTGGAAACATCATGTGGCGATGCAGGGAATGCTCTGAGGTGAAAGGATTAGATCATGGGAGCCGTCACCTTGCCAGTGGGTTAGCAGTGGATCCCTGGGCTCCCACTGTAAACTGGCTGGGTGTGGCCGAGGACTACGGTCCCTGGAAGCATGGGGTTCTATCTTGTCCTGGCTCCCGACTCTCTGGCTCCCTCCCTCTGCTTCCCAGCTGCGGGGAGCGAGCAGCTTTCCTGTGCTGTGTCTGCCTCACCTCCGCCCAGAGCAAGGGAGTTGACCAGCCATGGACTGAGCCTGCGGAACCCTAAGTCCATAATAGACTTCTCCTCCTCCGAGGTGTTCCCATGGGGTCTTCTGGTCTCAGTGACTAAAAGCTGAGTGACTCACGTGTGGAATCCAAGAGGCCAGACCCAAGCAAGAACTAGCAGGGCGGTTACCAGAGGCTGGACAGGGATGGAGAGGGCAGGGGGCTGGGAGACGCTGGCCAGAGGACACGAGTTTCCATTGGGCAGGACACCTGTTCTCATTAATTCAAGAGACCCACTGTGCGTCAATCGTCTACTTGGAATTTTAACAGTTCTCGTCACACGGAAACCAGATGTGAATGGAAGCACGTGCTCATGGGCCTGATTTACCACCCCACAGTGTCACGGGGATGACAGCACCACACTGTGCAGCATAAATACGCCCTTCATGGCTTTGTATCTAAAAACAAGTCAATGGGTCAGAGTTCATTGAAGAGGTACCGTGACCCGCTGGAGATGGGGCTGCAGAGGATCACGGTGACGTCCATGTGCCAGCGCACCACACTGCACGTGGCCTGAGCTTCTTGGTGACCTCGTCCTCCTTCCCGGGAGCGGTGGTCTTGCTGAGTGCTCACGCTGACCGCGAGGGCTCCCTCACCTCCTTAGGTCTGGCTCTCTTCCCCTGCCCCTGGCTCATCTCTGGCCCTCCTGCCGCACACAGCCCAGCCCCACCGGGTCTCACTTTGCTGTGTTTTATTAATGCTTATCCCTCTGCACCAGCCTCCAGTTCTTCTCAAAAGTCCCCGTGAGAGCAGGGATTTGTCTGTCTGGTGTTCACTGTCCCCAGCCCCTCGCCGCACATCTGCAATGTTTGTTGAGCGAATGGGCAAGTACTGGACCCTCGGTGCTGCAGGAATCTACTGTACGTCAGCACGCGGGTCCAGAGAAACAGACCTGCCCCTGCAAAAGCAGCAAGCTGGAACTGGGCTGCGGCTGAGGGGCACAGCAAGCAGGTAGCGCGTGAGGCCCTGGCTCTGGGCCCAGCTCTGGAAGGGAACCAAGCCGAGCCGTCAACAGACCCAGGGACTGCGCTTCGTGGTGTTCTGAACACGTCCTACCAAAGCTCTGGGCGACCTCCACCAACTTATCTTCCTATCGATTCTGCTTTTTGAACAAGGAAAAACTATGGGACTTTCTTATTCTGCAGAAAAAAAAAAGTTGAAAATAATAGTAGAGAGATAAAAGGGGACAAAAAATCTTAGATTTCATTTTTACTCTTTGGTGCATTCTTTTGTGGACTTTTTAATGTA